ATTTTATTTTTTTTTCCCAGTATGAACAGTGGTTCTGATTCTGGTTCACTTTAGCATAAAAGCCTCAGATTGGGTTCACACTGACTGCGGTTCAATGTGCTGCAAAAAGTCACTAAAAGCTGGAACCAGACTGGCTCATTGATGCTCTGGCTGTAGAAACGGCGCTTGCAAGGAATAAAGTTTGCATGGGTTCAAATTATTTCCAGAAGTTCTAGCACAAAATTCATTATCCCTGCCCAATTATTGCTTTTCAACCCACCAGTCTATTTTCTCATGTTTCTGTTTTTCCGTTTTGTTTTCACAAGTCAATGTAGTGTCATTTTTTTGTTGGAAATGACCAGGATTCGTTTTTGTCTGGCGTCACTCTTTCCCTGTTTCCCTGTTTGCACCAAACTTCCTTCTGGTAGAATCATTGTGCTGAGCTGCTACACCTCGGTAAGCACAACCACACAGCATGGTGGCTGTTGATTTGGGTTACTAACGGCGATCGCACTGCAGCCAGACTGTATCCAGTAAGAGCCTGGCGTACAGGTACATTCACACTGAAGTGGAGAAAGTTTCTGTTTCGCTTGGCTTTTATTGTTGTTGTTAAACTGCATTCACTTATCATCAAATATTCTATTCCCCATTGTGACAATATGTGACAGGGCGCATAATCTGGTGTAACACCGGTTCCTGTTGCATGTTCAACTCGCCCATGCTGAGAGCAAGTCAGCATTTGTGTGCATATGGTATGGAAAGACAACGACATCAACAACCAGATCCCAGTATCAGGAGCTGCTCTGCTGCTGCAGGGAACAAAGAAACTGGTTCTGGTGAGTTTTTGACTGAAATTCCTTTTTCTGAGTGTGCTTTTTAAACTAACATCACAGTTCCTGATTAGTTAACGAAATCATCTAACAAAAATTTCGGAAATTTTGATTTTTCAGGACAGGTCGGATGAAATAGCTTATTTCCTTTAGTAAAGGATATAATCTTTTAAAACTGCTGTTTGTTTTTCTTCATTTTGAGTTTTTTTTTTAAAGATTTTTGGACTATATTAAAACATCTGAGTGTGATTACAGAAATCTGTAAGGGGCAAACAATGTTTTACTGCAGTGCAGATGCTAAGTCTTACTCTGGCTCCCAGCATTATCGCCCTGTCCTGCTCAAACACTCGCTGCTGCTCCTTCTTGTAGCCGGTGATTCCAAACCGATGGACTTCCAGACGAGCCTGTCACAAACATGTCAGGTTCCAAAACATAGGGACCATATACCGCAGGGGTTAAATGCAATAATCAACAAATCTTAATAAGATACATTGAAAGCAGCTTAACTCCAGTAAAATCGAATTAAAAATATTTTCACCTTTTCCAAACTGAGCCGTTCTTGCTGGCTGATTCGCTTCTGCTCTGCCGTCTGAGACTCCTGGATGTGACGAGCGCGACACCCGAAGGCGATAAGGGCCAGAGTAGGAGGAAAGTGATGGAAATAAAAGGCGACAAGAGTAACAGAGGAGAAAAAACAGGTTAAATGAAGTTCATGGTGCTGGATTTAACATTTCACAAAGTTTTGAATAAATTTCAAAATGGAAGTTTGTGGCATTTAGAGGATTTATTCTTATAGTTAAATTACTTTATTTAATCTGACTGGTTGAAATAAGTTCTGGCCTTCATTTTATTATCTCCTAATATTAATTTAACATTTTAGTTAGCTTTAAATTGTTTGGTCAGCTGGTAAAAAAAGGTTACTAAACCTCTAATCTTTATTTTTAAAAGCTGTATATATTCTCTGTGTTTTGCAATGTTGAATAAATGACAGCGTTCAAAAGAAAGATTTTTACTGGATAAAAAACAAAATCCAGTTTAATAATGGTTACAGTTTAAGCAAATGGACTTTAATCTTCAGAAGTTATCTAGCTTTAGAAGAGATTTCTATAAATTAAAGTAGGACACACCAACCTGTGGAGCTTTAACTGGAATCTTGGTGGAAACCGGAACCTGTTTGGTTTTAGTTTTCTTTCTTGGGTCCTGAAACGTCACCACCTCCACCTTGTTCTCCGGCTGGATGCCTGGATGTGAGAGATTATCAGAAGGAAGAGTCTGCAGATTATTATTACTGAAATGTGCAAATATTTACAGGGTTTCTACAAATTTAAGATACATTTAAGAGTAGTTTTTAACTCTTTTTAAGAATGCTATAGTGTAGATTTAGGATTTGCATTGGTCCACATCATATCTATTATTAATAAGAAATTAGCATTACAATGACTAAAATAGATGTTATTGAGATAGGGATTGTATTCTTATTATGAGTTTTGTAGGTTTTTGTTAAGCAGTTTGTAACCCTCCCTTGTCTGTAACAGGTGCGATATAAATAAGATAGTTAACTGCCTGCCTTACTTTTTAACTCGCTCAAAAACTAAAGAAAATCTGAGAAAACTTTATTCCTTTTGGTGAAAAATGTTCAGCTTTGACAGACGCCTCTATTTTAGGTTTTAGCCAACTACTAAAAATACTGTAAAATCTTGGTAAATTTTCACATTTTTCACATTAGTGAATAACCAACACAAGCATTTTGAGCTTAATTCTCCAAAGAAATTAAAACAAGAAGAAATTCGAGGAACTTGTGGGAAAGGCTTGATTGCAGACTTTATATTCCTTCAAACAGGAATGTTTTCTACTTAACACTACTGGCTTTGTAATTCAAGTAAAATAATGTCCGAATTCCTTTAGAAAACTGTAACAAATATAATAGGTAAATATTTCCAGAATTTTTCTGGTGGGGAAAAGGCAAAAAAAACAAAAAAAAACAAACAAACAATACTTTGATAAAACAAATAAACATTCAAATTTAAGAAATACAAATATAGATATATAGAAATAAAACTCAATACATAAAAAAAAGAAAAAAATCTAAGACTTTTTTTTTTTTTTTACTTATGTATGCCTTGCATTTACAACGAGTTGTGATAATCCACCTTTCAAGCGTTTAAACCCTTCGGTGTTTGGCTGCTCTGCTCCACGGTGATCCTCAGCATCTCTGCTGTCTTCATTGTCGCTGCAACCTTCCTTCGCTGGATCAAGTCCCTCTTCTTCCTCCTGCTCTTCACATCTTTTTCGTTTTTTCTTTTTTGGGGCTTTAAGCGTCTTCTTTGATTCTGAACCTGCAACAGAAATTGAAACCATAAACATGAAGTAGAGCCAACAAAACCTCTATTTAATACCCTGCCCAATAACCTGTTTCTTTATATTTGACACCCAGTGCAATAACTATATCCATCTATATAAATACCCATGTAAACACACTTTGCAATAACCCTGTATATTGATCCTGCTATAAAAACCAAACCTGTCATATGTGGACGCACTGTATATACCGTATATAGCCCATGCACCTTTTTCTTCCTTTGGCACTTTCTTCTTCTCTTTTTGACAATTTGTCAATCAATCAATCAATAACATCTAAGATGGTCATTTTTCGTGAAAATCCTGATTATTTCTTACCCAACTCTAAACATTTAAACTTCAAAATAAAAGGACTACTTCAAATTGAACCTCCATGTTCCCTAAACCCCAGCACTGCCTTCATACAGATTAATGTGTGATTAGTGATGCACTACTTTTCTGTCATGAACCAATAAAGATGTCCTTTAAAAATAAGCTCACATGATGAGGAAAAATTAATAAAAAAAAACAGCGATCACTGTAATAAAACAATTAAAACAAAACCATACTGCCCTAAGTGTAATTTCCCCTCACTTTTCTCTTTAGTTTCCATCAACAAGATGAACAAATCATGCTGCTTTAACTGTGGTTATAAAAGACAGTAAACAGATAAAGAAACATGTATGGATATCTATAGTGCATATTAACCATTTATTATACACTCCAGTGAGTTTCACCATCTTTAATCATATGATGCATGTTGTGTGTCTTCTTATAAAGCAGATTGACCAAAGTTGCATCCTGAAGCACCAGGGAATGAATTAGAAAAGGAATATTTTCAGACATGATGTAAACAGGAAGGCCAGATTATCCACGTGATGCAGATTGTGTGTATATATATATATATATATATATATATATATATATATATANATATATATATATATATATATATATATATATATATATATATATATATATATATATATATATATATATATATGTTAGGGACCAAATATGTACATGCAAATATTTTGATATTTATATTTATACATATACTAGATGTTAAAGAAGACTTTGTGGTTTGAGAGGTAGGTTTAAAAAATTTACCCTTTATGATGATCATAGGCACAATGTTATGATTGTTCTAGCTTTTAAGAGTGTGGATTTTAGGTAATAAATGCATTTTTATTAAACTAAATATGTGAATATTTTTTTTTTTGTAACTCAACAAAAACTTTTGCTTTTTAGTCAATACAAATATTCGTTTAGAATAGGTAAACATACGTTAAACATGTTGAAGCTCCGTTTTTTTTTTTACTTGTTTGACATAAGAAGTTGAAATAAAAACAATGAAAACACAAAATGCTTACCTTTTATGTCATAGTTTATTTATGTACATAAAAAAAAATAACAGAAAGAGCAGAGTTTAAATCGGCTAACAGAGCTAGCATTAGCTCCTAAGGCTTACCAAAGTCATAAAGAGAATCCAGAACCTGCTCCAGAAACAAACTGTCCTCGTCTTTTCCCTCCTTCATCTCCAAAATTATTATAAGACCATCGGCTAAATAAAATTATGGTAAATCAAACAGACAAAAATATGTCTTTGCGAACTTGTTTGTATGAATGACAACACACGTGAAAACGCACAGCGCGCAACACGCTACCGGAGTGGTCCTTACCAGCCACCGTAGGTGAAGGAAGTGAAAAAGATGTCAGCTCTCACGCCCATACGGAGCTCTGCAGCTGCTGTTGGTATCTAAAAGTAAACGGGACAACAATATATTCATTTTCACTCATCTTTATCGGATGCAGGCGGTGTTTTGGGACAAAGAATGGCGTCCAAGGTGGTTTATTCGGTGTGTAGAATGTGTTTATTGCTGTGTTTATTAGCTGGCTGAGCTAGCTGGGGTCCCTGTTGCTCAACATCAAGTGTCGCTTAACCTCTTAACGCAATGCTACTTTGTTGGGTTCGCTCAGAATAACTCGGAGCCGAATTAGGGTTTGATTTGCTCTGCAAGTTTATTTAAGAACTTATCTGTTTTACTGGAAATAATCTGAAACGATTGTTTGTATGTCTGGATCTGCTCGTCAAGGTTCCTCCCTGCAAAGTTTTGAAAGGTCCTGGAAGGAAAGGATTGAGATTTATACATTTTTCTGATGTTATTTTATATATAATATATGTATATGGATGTATGTGTATGTGTAAAGATATATATATATATCAGACACATACACACACGTATGTATATATATATATATATATCTTTACACATACATATGTATGTGTATGTATGTATGTGTAAAAGATATATATATATATATATATATATATATATATATATACATTCGTGTGTGTATGTGTCTGACCACATGTCAGACCTACCTCCCTAGAAGTCATTTAGTTTCCATTTTTAGGACCCCGTGTGGAAATAGTTGTGATGGATTCTTTCTTACTTTTCTCTTTATATTTAACTAACTGTAGCATTTTCAATTTAAAAAGTAAAGTATAGCTTTAACCTGAGTAATGTTTTTGAAACCTGTTAAGTAATTTTCTCTTTTCTTGCTCTGTCACTTTTTTACATAATCAGGACTATGCAAAGAATTATTCAAGAAGCTTCATGTTTAGAATAAGGGGTTTCATTAGCAGTTGAATATTTATATATTTTACCAATGTTATATATTTAGTGTTAGCATTGACTACATTTATGGCATTTTGAAAAAGGGGATTCTTTGATGATTATTACATTTTAATTTACAGAGTGAAAATCTTTAACCCAAAGCAGAAATTGTATCTAGAGTTATGCATCACTGTTGTCAATATTGACCAACAATATGATTTTGGATGTTGGCATATCGGCATGTGAACATGATCAGTTCTTCCTGCTGTATTAAGAAATTAACTGCGATTCAAAAAATCTGACAATGCAATGTCTCCTGGGTCCTATTAAGAACACCATGCATTGCACATTGCATGTCATGGAGCCCTGAACTGTCTGAGCATGTGGAAAAAAAACATCTCTATAGTGCTCATTATCCTGGGGCCAGATTATTAATGAGATGAGGCACTTATTTACCCATGTCTCCTTTTTCATCAGGGAGTTTGAAGGAGAACAGGGCATTAAAGAAGAAGTTTCTTTGTTGTTAATAGGTATACGTTTTTACTGAAGGATCTTTCAAGGTTAACCCTTTTTCACTGGTTAGGATAGATATTCACATGTAGGTTCTCTTTCTCACCTTCAGGATAATCCAGCCTGATTTAGTTTACTCAAAGGATGAAAATGCATTAAAAAAAACTAAGTAATTTTTTTGCTCTTATTTGGCAATTGCTTCTTTTTTTATTTCATTAGCATAGAGACCCAATGCTGAAGAAGAGAGATGACTTTGAGGACATGTTGGAGGAAAGGAGAACGGGCAGTGATCTAAGATATGCGCTCAGGTGTTACACTCCTGCCCTCTACAAAGGACTGACTCCATGCAAAGCCAGCGAACTCAAAAACATGGTGCTGCAGTCTGATCAGCTGCATTATGTCATCAATCAGGTGAATAGTAAATGTTTTTTCCTTTGGAGTCCTGAAAAACAAAAGTTATGTTTAAAAGTATTTGGTAAAACATGCACTATATTACAAAAGTATTTTTATACTTGTACATGTGCATTACAGATGTTGGTAATGCTCTATTTTTAATCTCAAGGGTCTATTTTGTTGATGAAACTCTGTAAATAAAGCTATAACTATTCTGTAAAAATTTTTGTTAAGGTTTAGGGTTGTGTTCCCCGTCAGAACTAATAACTAGAATTAAAGCCCTCATTCCATGGGTGTTCTTTATGTTTGACTTCCAGCCAATCAGGTTTCTTCACACAACCGCAGCCATGGAAATGAATGGAGCATCTGAAATCATTCATTTGGTGGTGTCACCCAGTACTTTTGGTAATATAGAGGATATAGCAAAGCTTTGATTTCTGTTCTCTGGGATTTTTACTGGGGTTGCCATCATCGCTACCTCCTGGTACAGCATGGGTATTGCTATACTTTTAGTTCCATTCCCAGAGATCATTGGGACACACCAAGCTTTATTATCAAGGCTATTTCTTTAAGCTCTCCTGAAATTATTCAGCTTATATAAAGTGCACTATCTTTACAAATGTGGCTGTCCTTTTATTATTGAGATGGAGGGTCGCTGCGTTGCCCATTCATTCTCAATGGTTCTATTCTTGCCTCGGCCTTGAAAAGATCCTCTGTTTTTATGCTGAATCACTGTGACACATGGGACACAATCTTCTTTTCCCTCCTGATTTATTGCACAATAACATAACTTTCATTGTTTACGTCAAATTTATGTAGCATATTTTACCTCAAAGTGCTCAACACCAACAAAGAATGAAATTAAATTGCAATGGCATAATGGTAATTAAATGTTTCATAAGAAAATCAAAGGGGGAATTGGAATGAAAGCTTAGCTAGTAATATTTAGGTACCACAGTCAAAGGGTGCTTTAAACAAACATGGAGTTAAAGCAACTGAGGTTTTTGATGCTTTTATAGATTTTTTTTTTTTTTGGCATTAGTGGAAAATAAGAACTAAAAGTTGCATTGTCAGGCTTGGTTCATGGTATGCAGAGTAGATTTGATCCAGAAGACCTGAGAGGTCTGGGCAGCTGATCTTCTGACAGCAAGTCTGTAATGTATTCTGGAGCTAAGCCGTTCAGTGATAGACTAACTTTCTCTTTGATATGGGAAGCCAGTGGAAGGACTTCAGAACTGGGCTAAAGTGCTCTACTGTCTTAGCTTTAGTGAGAAAGCAGACATGTAAACAATTAAGAAAAAAAAGGAGACAGGACTTTGCATCAGCATAAAGGTCATTAACCCTCTCAGGCTCAAATGAAGTTGTAGTTGCAGGAAAAATCTGATATTTGAAGAAAATGATCATGTGGGGTAGTAATATACAATTCAGACTTTTTTTGAGAGAGAGACCTTCACATGCAATGAATTCTGGGATGTTGCAGATTTGCAACAGTGGCCCAGTGTGGTAAATTAACTCTGAAGACTGAATCTGATATGAATGTTAACTTTATTTGAATGTCACAAACAAAAAATTAACAAAACAAAATACGAAAAAAATAAATTCTTCCACAAAATTAGAGACAACTTTTTCTTCACCGACATCTCAAAACCTCTTTTGACCGAATTCTGTTTAACTGTTGCTCAAAATATACTGTAGGCAAACTAGTAGATAAAGCATGTAGTATCCATTGGTACCTGTTTGGGCACACGTTGCAAATCCACAACATTGAAATCGAGATGCCTCTGGTGAAAAACTACGAGGAGATAAAATCTACTAATTGGCATGTGTCATACAAATTCATGATTTATCTTATGTAGTATTGATTTCAAAATAATGGAAATTGGTAGTGATATGAAATTGGTGCTTTCAGTGACACCAAGGACTCAGCCATGTTAAAAGTGAGTCAGCAGTGCTATCTGGTGAGCTGGAGAGAAACTGTTTGTTGCAAATGCACAACTAAGTCCTCCTGTTCTACTTCTGAGGAACAAAAGCTCATAAAATATGGATGGGAGTAATTAGCTATGTGGCATTTAGCTGTTGCAAATCTGCAACATCTGCCTGGAGAGGGTTAAATCATTAATGGACATGACTAGTTTAAGAGAATAAAAGTGAATAATTAGAATGATTTGTAAAAATGAAAAAATGTTGGACTACAAACTTAAACTAATAATGTTAAACAGCTAAGTCAAAGGCTGCTCTAAACAAATAGGTTTCAAATCTATTATAAATCTGAGGTTTTCAACCCTATTTCCTTGTTCTGGGAGTTTGTTTCAAATTAGTGGAGCAAACAGTTTAAAGGCCACTAATTCACACAAATATTTTAACTGAAAGACAGAGGGTTAGACAGAATTACAACCTCTGACAGGCTACAGGATTTAAAAGGATGGAGGTCATGTCCAAGCCTTTATTTTTCATCGGCTTGCTGTAATTTAACTTATTTATCTTCTTTTCCATACTTTCCACTTGTTCTGCTTACATCCCTTTAAATCATGCTGTGGACTTTTGTTAACTGAATAATGCCTTTTAATGAGATGCTTTTTTTGTTTTAGGTTTCCAAAGAAACGGGCACGCCAACAGATGAGATCCAGGCGGAGGCAGCGGCCATCTTGGAGGAGATGGCTCACCGCTTGCAGCTCAGCACGATCCGCTTCTTTGCTTTCACTCTCAGCAAAATCTTTAAAACTCTGTTCAGGAGCATCTGCGTCAACGAGGAGGGCATCCAGAGAGTAAGTGGACCCAGCAGGGGGGCTCATAGAAATTTGGTCATAGATAACCTTTATCTTTTTCTTTTTAGCTTCAACAGGCCATCCAGGAGCACCCGGTGGTTCTTCTGCCAAGTCACCGGAGCTACATGGATTTTCTTCTCATGTCATACATCCTGTACACCTATGATTTAGCTTTACCAGTCATCGCTGCCGGCATGGGTAAGTCATCCGTCCTACAGCTGCTCCTTTGATAAATACATCCATCACTGCATTATAGAGACTAACTTCTAAGAGGGTTTCTTTGCAGACTTCATGGGGATGAAGATCGTCGGGGAGATGCTGCGAATGTCGGGGGCTTTCTTTATTCGCAGATCGTTTGGTGGAGACAAACTCTACTGGGCTGTTTTCTCAGAATACGTCAAGATCATGCTGAAGGTGAAGGAGCTGTGAAGACAGTCTGTGGAAATCTTTGCCTCTCATTTTGCACGTTATTTTAAACCTTTTTTCTTTGCAACTGTTTATTTTAGAATGGGTTTGCACCGGTTGAGTTTTTTCTCGAGGGCACGAGGAGCCGAACAGCCAAATCCCTGACTCCAAAGTTAGGTAAATAATGGCACAGGGGACTGATGAGCTCCCCTTCCTGTTTTATAATCTTTAAAGTTGTCTTTAGCTGTGATGTTTGACCCTTCCTCTGCTCTAAGCACAAGCATATCCCTATTTGGCCTCCATGGGTTCAACAATTGCATAAATGCTCTCTCATTCAGACTGCATTGTTGCTGTACTTCACTGTTGCAGGGAAAGGGCTTCTAACTGCAACCATCCTCCCTTCTTTGTGGTACTTTAAGTGTATTGCTGCCACCTAAAGGGCTGAAAAGTTAGTGTTTGCCTCATTACATGTAACAATACTAAAAGGTTTTGTTTCTGTGATTATGAAATTAAATTTTTTTTATTGCAAATGCAATTAGTTCTTTATCCATAGAATTTTTGTGTTGACTTGTGTCAATGTTTTTGATGAATCAAAAAATATATATATATATAGTTTCTGGACTAAGAAAGTAAGAAAATAAAGCAGCAATATTCCTGTTACTTTTAAAGACAAAATCCACAATTACTGATTAAGAGCCCTTTAAGATGTGGCTGTAACATCAAAATCTTTCCATATTTTTTCCTATTTAAACAAACATCTTTAATGTATTTTATGTGATACACAAACAAAGTTTATACCCAAACTTGGACATTTTTTTTTTACATGGTTTTCAAATAATCAAAATAACCGCAAAGTAAAAGTGCATTTGTGTTAATGTCCGGGCTTTATTAAAATGCTTTCAATGCATTGCCTTTAGTGCTAATCATACTAGAAAATAAAGTCTACCTGCATATAAGTTAGATTCTGTTAAATTATATATTCTGTAAAAGCCCCAGCGGTTTTTATTCTAACATCTCAAGTCACCCTAAACAACATAGTTCCCAACATTAAAAGGTGGTGATATCATCATCATCATCATGCAGTGGGGATGCTTTCAGCCGGGAGGGTGAAGTAAGTTACAGTTGATGTTGATAATTACACAAATCCTGTAAGAAAACTTGTCCGTGGGAATAACTTGATACTCAGGGGAAGGTTCATCATCCAGCAGAAAAACAAGTAAATAAGTTCTACTGCTTGCCAACCTGTACTGTTCTTTTCCAGGCCTGCTGAACATTGTGATGGATCCTTTCCTTAAAGGAGAAGTGTTCGATGTCAGTCTGGTCCCGGTTAGCATCAGCTACGAGAGGACCCTGGAGGAGGCGCTCTATGCAAGAGAACTGCTGGGTGTCCCGAAGCCCAAAGAGTCAACCTCAGTGAGTTGATTGCAGCATCCAATCTCTTTATCTTAAGGCTGATTTATACTTCGAAACTAGGTCGTCTGCGTAGGTGTCGTTGTGAACGCAGAGACGTCCCCGCCCCCTTCCGCAGACACTCTGCTGCCCCTCTCCCAAATTGAAGGTGACCGCAGACAGTGCCGCGGGCACCTCATGTCCCTCCGTTGTCGGACAGACTTGGCCCGATTTCCTCACCCCCTCTG